TTACCATTTTCATTTATGAACTAGAGGTAGATGTTAGGCACCATCTCTTATCTAAATTAATAATTATAATAATTTATTAAATAATTTAGAACATTCTGGAAGCAAAGACTTGCTCAGAGTCCAGATGGCATAACTGGCAAGTGTACCACACCAAGCAGAGGTTGTAGGTTCGAGTCCCTCTCCAGGCTTGTTCTTTTCTTCCAGAATGTTCCAAATTATTTAATAAATTATTATAATTATTAATTTAGATAAGAGATTGTGCCTAATGTCTACCTCTAGTACCAAATTACTTAGTTTCTAATTATAGCATAATAATAGCCCGATTAATTACAGCGAGAGTTTTGATTAGTATTATTCTAATATATACTATGTCAGAAAATATCCATATAAATAAATGTTATCTGAATTTGTAATGCTACCAGTTTTCATTATTTTATTTTAATAGTAGGCAAATGTATATAATTAATTTGATTTATTTGTATTTTTGGTTTATTGCATCTACTTCTGATACAAAACCCTCTGGAATAAATTTTATTGATCAGAAAATTTTATTTTCACTGAAAATTATATTTGAGGTATTTTTTCTGATAAAAAATTAAATGAAATAATCAAACATATATGTAGGCTTGTTTTTGAATATATTCATAAAAATGTGGAAATAAATAGGAAATTTAAAAGTTACTAGATGAATGTTGAAACTTTGGAAGCAATGTTAACTTTGTCATGTGATATATACCTCCCTCTGAGTGGCTAATTGCAATGGTTTATTTATTATTGTCCACTAAATTTTCTGTTCTTTGTAAATATCTGTTGCCTTGTGAGTTAAAAGGCCCACCAGTGGCAAGCAGTTACATTCCCTGAACACTGGGAGTTTGGTCGTGGGTTCACGCCTCGCCGGGACAGGCTGGCCATGTGGAGTCTGCAACGCCTAAATAGGGACCAGTTTCTCTTAAAAAGACCTCCCAGAAGGCATCTCCCTAGCAAGATCGCTCAAGTGTTGCATTGCCATAACTAAACTAAACAAACAAACAAGTGAGCGAAAAACTTCAAAGTCAGTAGTGACAAAAATATTAGACCATGCCAAATTGTTTGGCATAAGTACTAGACCATTGACAGTTTATCATGCACAAAAAGTATTAGATGCAACATTTCTTAATATAAATGAACCTGATCTTTTTGTTTTGTGTTTTCAAAAATTTTCGTATCTTTTAAGTAAATCTCAGAAGACATTTAAATGTAGGTAAGTGAAATGAGCTATCTGTGAAAGGAGTCAAGTCTGAACATTATCTTTTATTTTCAGGGCTTTTATTTAGTTATCATTATTATTTATTTTGGGGATGTTTTATTTTGTTTAAAGGACAAAAACTATACACTACCCTGACAAAATTCTAAAATACAAAAATTCTTACCATTTGCATGACTGGTACTCATAATGCTGACATCACCAGTTTAACAAGACATCTCAGATTAAGCAGTCTCTGAGTGAAAGTTAGAGAATTGTCTCTTAATCCTTTTGTTACTTATTTTAAAAAAATCAGAGAATTTCTTTGGAAAGATTGGAAAGACTAGTGTAACTAAAAGATTGCAAAGAAAGAATAATTGTTAGTGCATAAGTATGTAAATGAGCTAGAGTGGTATCACTCTAGCTCATTTACATACTATGGAATTGTGATGTCACACCAAGGAGTATAAAAACCCCAGTGACAATGAAGATGTTAAGGTGAAGCTTCTGAGCACAAGAGAGTTCCAGAGCAAATGATGAAAAGGATTTCCTGACATTTTTTGATATGACAGTTAGGTGGTTTAGATAAGAATTTTCTTCTGTTGGTATTAATCGAGTTTTTGCTTACTTTCTCAGTTTTTGTGGAGAGTTAAAATTTAAAAGTTAGAGTTAAATTCTCTAAATGTCGGGAAGTTTTGTGAAACTTTGTTTTGGTTTCGTTTTTGATTTGAATTAATTATAGTTCTGAATTTTATGCTTTTTGTGCAGTTTATTATTATTAACGTATTTTCGTGGGGATTTTTTTTCTAATCTCTTGTAAATAGTTTGTTTAGTCGTAATAAGTTTTGTTTTTCATTGACACATAGTCAATTAATTTGGCACTTTGGTTACACTAATCATGTTTAAAACTAATCCATTTGTGTTATTTTGTCATTTTCAAAGTCCAGGCCTGGCAACCAACTGACCTTCAATTTTTTATTGCTGTTTATGTAATGTCATTTTATTAGCTATAGTTTCGAGCTGTTGAGTGATGCATTACATCTACAGATATTAAAGAGAGGATTATTATTTTTAATAAACAACATTTAAATCAGAGACAAGTAGCAGAACAATTTAATATAAGCAAAACTGTTGTGCAGTATAATTTAATAAAACTTCAAGAAACTGATTCAACCAAAAACTGGGAAAAGAAAACCATCTAAGACAAACAAATGAGAAGATAGATAACTGACTTGTGAGAGAACTTTGCAAGATTAAACCAGATGCTGTTGCTTCTGAGCTGTTACAGAAGTGGGGAAAATGTTTCTGAAATAACTACAGTTGTCCCTCTATAGTCCGACGTTTTTTAATCTGACATGCTCAGTAGTCCGACGCACCTCCCGTCAAGGTACCCGTCCCCGTTACGTGTCTGCTTGCACAGAAGCATGTCGCGATGTGAATCTCCCCATCCAATTTTTACACAATGACACACATTTCGTGTGTTTTATGTGAGCAGTTCTGTTCGAACAGTTGGAGTAGAGAATATTGTAAGTTACTGCTAGCAAAACAATGCAAAATATGTAATTATTTTTGGTAATCCGGACACTTTTGGTAATCTGACACACCTTTGGTCCCATACCTGTCGGATTATCAAGGGACAACTGTATACAAAATCATCACTGAAATAGTTAGAAGATCATAACATGCTTGTCCTCAAATGTTCTGCTAACTATGCTGACATGAATGCTATTGAGTCAATGTGGAATATTATGAAAGGAAAGTAAAGAACTAAACTGAAAGAACTGATTGAGCTGAAGGAAGCGATTATATTATTTGGAATGGAATCCTTTCAAATGCTGGTTCAAAATGAATTGAAAAAATACCATGGCAAACTAATACCTTTATCAACATCAAAGGAGTCCCAACAGAGTATTAAGTTTTAAATGTTTAAGTGTCTAATACTTTATTTTACTGCATGTAAGATGCATTTCTGTTTCAGCATAAAATATTGGGAAAGTATTTAATCCATCTAGTTTCTTTGATATTCAGTACCAATTATTTTTTTTAGCTATATTCTGGTTAAAAAAAGTAAAATTAGAGTGCACACTATCATTTATCAGGGAAAAACAGTAGTTTAAAAGAAGTTATTTGCCATTAAAATGTGAGCCTGCTGGGCTAATGGCGCAAATTCTTAGAAATTTTTAGGAAGTGTAAAATCAATTTTTCGAAATTTTTATGTAAATATCCATCTCAATTGTTAGAAAAACCTATTGCATAGAATTGGATAGGATGACAACTCAACTGTCAACAACCAGGTGGGGAAATTGACACATTGTTGTGAAACAATAGCAGTCTGCTGCAAAACAACTCTCCGAAGAAGGCAAGTCATCACACACCTGCAGAAATAACCTTTGGGATCGTAAACAGCAGATGAACACGTGGCCAATTTCCTACGAAATTAGTATAAAAGATTGAGATGCAGGAAGTTCAGGATCGTTATAGGAAGTTATATTTTTGACTGTGGCCATTCTAGTCTCCTGGATCTCCATTGAGTAGACCCGATCCAGTCCCAGGAGAAGGCCCTGGTTGAACAACATTTTAGCATCTTCAGTTGAATCTTCCATATCGAGAATGATCGTCACCTTGGCTCTCCACTAAAATATAGAGGTATTTTGGTTAGAAATTTGTGAACTCTCTCTTTCTCTGCTGTCACCAAATTAGCATGCAGCATAGAGATTAGATAATCGCAGTTCTTTGTGTAAAGAACTCATATGTTAACCGCATTTAATCTTATCTTGTATAATCTGTATGTATTTAGAACTAGATGTTTAATAAATTTCTTTGTTATTTGTTAACCTGTTAACCTGTTTTATTAAAGGGAAAGGACACCTGTCAACTTATCTGCACGACCTCCCTACTCGAATTTGCCCTCCTAAAGCCATCCAGTGACAAAGTGAGCGAGTTTTACCAACTCAACGATTAGAGGGCTCTGTACCCTCGCCCATATTCTCACAAAAATATTCTATATAAATTTTTTAAATTAAACTAAGTATTTGTTTAATTAAACAATAACATTTTTATTCAAGACTTGGGTTATGTAGAGGTTATCTGTACCCTACTGAAGGCCATTTGGAGAATTCGTTAGCCTAAGGGAGATTGAAACTTCACATATAAGATACAGGACGATTTTTAAGTCTGTTTTTTGAATAAAAGTTGTGTTTTATTGCTGTAAAATATGGTACTTGTGCTGAAAAATGAGCTTGGTCTAATATTTTTGTCACTACTTGCTTTTGTAAAAATATAAACATTTATTTATGAAAATGTGTTGACTTAATTTCTTTTGCATTATTAGAAAGCTATAATAAATTTTCATAGAAAAAAAGTATTAAACATAATATTTATTTAAATGAAACGTGTATGTCAGGAAGTAATGCATCTGAGAATGAGGTGGTTTATGGCTGGGGTTATAAGAAAGATTTTTCTCAATTCAAAGATAATGATGAAATTTTGATTTTAGTTAATGCTAATTTAAAAGATGCTTTTAAAAAAATGTGAAGATTTAAATGTAATTTAACTGATAATGTTGAATCTTCAAATTTTACAATGAGCTTTTAATTCTTAGAAACATAAAAGTTGATATGCTGTCAACCATTAGATATGTATTACATCACAAAAATTTTAATATAAATTTTGAAAGGAAGGGAAGATGTGATTAGATATGTTATTACAACTGTCATTTTTGTAACTATATTAAGGATAATCGTAACAAATGTCAAGATATTTTACGTTCTTCTCTGACGTTTCTTACACTGATTAACTACGCGTTATAGTCAAGTTTGAGCTCTTATCTGCCTAAAATTATTCCCTTCTAGGGAAATATAATTTAAAAATATAATTTAGAATAAATATAAACTACAAATTTTGTTAATATACCAGAGAAATTTATATATATTCTAAAAATATATAAATATTAATACAAAAATAGCTTATTATCTCTTGAATTTATTTTAATGTTTTCGATTGTTTAAATTATCAAAATCAAATTAAAAACGGGCTTCAGTATACAGTTTAATTGAGTAAATTACTCAAAATTTAATATAAAGATAATAATAAAGGATAACTTATGATATTTTTTGTACGTCGTATTCGTAGTTTAACCTCAGAGTAAATATTTCTTTAGCAATTTCCATTATCTTTATTACGGTAACTAACTGGATCAATTCAAAGTAGTAGCTTCCATCATTCTGTAAGCACGTATTGTACAAGGATGCTTAGCTTCTTTGCACGTTAGATATAACGTGATTGGTGAATCACCATTAATTCGAATAAAGTGCATTTTCAGAATGTTGTCATGAAGGTTTATCCTTCCATCAGTAGTATGTAACGCAATAAAATTCTTTTCATTCGAGATCGGTGCGAAACAAACCCTCTCCTGTATTCTGTTACAAGATGCTTAAATATTTGATATAACCGGGTAGAAGAATGAAAAAGATCACTCTTAATCCGTTGTAATAAACGGTTTGTGTCTAAAAAGTCTTCTATTATCTACTCTCAGTTTATTTATTTATTTATTATCGAGAAAACTTCTAAAGGACGTTTATAACAGGCTATTTCATCGTCATTGCTGTTAACGTCTGAATTATCAATGATGAAAAAGTATTATAAAATAACTTCTGTTTATTTCTGTCTTCGGAAATCTAAACAATTATTATACACATTTTTCTACAATATATTCAGCATAAACCTTTCAATAATTCGAATTTTTTAACACTAATTGATCCTGTTTGATTTGTGNGCTCAACTCAAAAGCTTCAACTGGGAAATTTTACCTCATCCACCATATTTGCCAGATATTGCTCCCAGTGATTATCATCTTTTTCGGAGTTTGCAGAATTTTTTAAAAGGAAAAACTTTTGAGGATGAGAACAATGTAAAAAAGACTATTTCTGAATATTTTGATTCAAAACCGAAATCATTTTACAAAAAAAGCTACCATCAAGATGGCAAGAAATTGTACAAAATAATGGTGAATACATTTTAGATTGAAATAAGATTTAATTAAAATTTTTTGTTGTTTTTTGTAGATAAAAATGTGCACGAACTTATGGACTGACCTGATAATATAAGGTATAGAGTCTTAATTAAAGCATTTAGTTAACATTCACTTAGTATGTGGAATAAATAAAGATAAGCACAAAATGATGGGTATAGAAGTAAACTTAAATGAGTTAGCTAAGAGAAAGTATAAAAACAAAATTTCATAAAATGCATTCATTTTGTAATATTTCACTCTTTTCTCTTACCTAATGACATGCTCTTGACCTTTCTTTGTAATTGTAATATGTAATTTATCTTATAAAATAAATATTTAACATAGCAAAAATTTTTGAAATATTTGATAATTTATAATTTTTCCAAATTTTAACCATTTTAAATATACATTTATTCCACTTTTATGTAATAACTTAGTGGTTTTCAACTGAGGTGCTGTAATGACACTTCAGGGTGCCCCAAAAATATAACAAAATATAAGTTCTATAACAGTTTTACATATATAACTAAAAGTACAAAAATTGCAATAATTACATTGAAAAAAGTAGGAGTGCCACAAGAAAAAAATTACCAAGTACTGTTAGAAAAGGTTAAAAACAATGTAATTAGTAATGAATGTTTAAACTATGCATTTTATTTCACTTATAAAAATAAACAGTTTCATTTATTTACAGAGTTCTAAATCTTCCCACAGCTGGTTATATATTAGTAAATAACACCAATCAAACCTTCAAAATTAAACCAGCAAATATATTTTAATATAAATATGCCATTTGTCAACAAATGCTTTCGATCATAATGCACCTCATTCTCAGAAATAGGATCAAAAGCACCTGTAATGGCATATTTATATTAAAATATATTTGCTGGTTTCATTTTGAAGGTTTTGTTGGTGGTGTTCATTTATTTATACAAATGTTAGCAAAGCTTTATAATAGTAAAATTTAATATTTATTCTGTATAATTTTGTAAGTAATTTTAATTAAAGTAATGAAAAATAAAAATATATCTTTTGTAACAATTACAATTATGTGTTATAGAGCAACAGTTCTTGCATCAGGAGCATTTCTTGATTCATTTCAGAAGATTGCTGATATGGCTACTAGTGCTAGAGGTGAGATTTAAATGGAATTTATTACAGTAACAGTATTAAAATGTATCAATCATTAATTAGCAACAATATAGTGATAGTGACTGACTTCAAGTACAGCTGTCCCTTGATAATCCGACAGGTATGGGATCAAAGGGATGTCAGATTACCAAAAGTGTTCAGATTACCGAAAGTGATTACATATTTGGCATTGTTTTGCTAGCAGTAGACTACAATATTCCCTACTCCAACTGTTCGAAGAGAACTGCTCACGGAAATCACACGAAATGTGTGTCATTGTGTAAGAATTGGGTGGGGAGATTCACGTCGCGACATGCTTCTGTGCAAGCAGACACGTAACAGGGACAGGTACCTTGACGGGAGGTGCGTCGGACTACTGAGCATGTTGGATTACAAAATGTCGGACTATCAAGGGACAGCTGTATTTCAATAGTTTAAAATAAAGTTATTTTGAACTTTCTCTTATTTTTAAATTAAAATTAGTGTAAAATCAATATAAAATATTTTTTTCTCTTGTTTTGTTTTCTTTTACTTATCAATAGGTAAATGCAATTTTCCATATACAGGATCATCCAAAAAGAGTGCTATCATTTTAAATTATTGTAATTATGTTAATTATTATCTGAGAATATTGTAATGTACATTAAAACATTGGAAAACTATCCAACTTCTTCATTTTCCCATTACAATTTCTGAATGTGTGCACCTCATGGCATACATCCAACCGATACTCAAATTCTTCTGCATTAACAACAGACCTTACATATGTATTTCAACACACTAGAACATGTATGTAAAGTGTTGTGTTGTTTATTCTGAGTAGTTCCAGCTTTTAGAAGATATAATTTCTTCCTATGTTTACTACAGTAAATCCATTATCACAGCATCCACAATTCTTCAATTCCTGCAAATTATGTTACTCATGTTACACAATGATGAATGATTCAGACTTTGTGAACTGCATAATGCAAAATGCCTTCTCTAGTACAGATTTACCATTTTCATTTATGATGCTTCCTAGAGGTAGTAGACAAGACATTTGAATGCAGATGGTCAAATCAGATGATAATGGTTGACTGTTCTGAAATCTATAACAGATTTCAGAACATCATCCAGTCTACTATTTGTTTAGTTGATGAATGCAAAAAATAATACTATTGGTAACTAGTGCTGTCTTAGTGAGGTGATAAAAAGATCAAGATGCACAAAATTTCATTGTTTAAATAAAAATATGATTGAAATCTTAATCTTTGAAATTACTTCTTAATCTCAGAAAGCACAAAACTTATTTGTATAATGTCAAATCAATATAGTAGATATCAATAAATTGAATGCTTGTTTTTTCAATTACATATTTTATAATCTGCATACTGTAAACCTATACTCATAGCATGCAGATTACTCAAGTGACAAGTTAAAAAGTTACAAAATTGCTTTAATATTTATTCAAGATTATTCAATAAGTTTTAAAGTACAGGTATCCCTCATACAACATGGTACTTCTACAACACAGTTTCAATCTAACACAGTTTGAAAATTGGGGATATCCCCGTACAACACAACTTCCAGTTTAGCTCTAACATAGTTTTGGAAAGTCTCCGTACAAAATTTCACAATTTTTAAGTGTAAACTCTGTTGTTCAATTTTTTTTATTCAAGCAAGCATGCATATTGTCTCAGATTTGCCCACAGATTTTAGACTACTGAATTTTTTAATTTGTTTTGTGCCTTTTATCATGTTTACTTTAATTAATGAAAACTGATAGTGCAATGTTTTTTCTTTCTTGTCCTAGCTTTCCTATCAGTCAGGTGTCATCATTGCTTTCAGATTTTAGCTATTAAGACCTACTGTGTTTTGTTTTTATAAATTAATCTTTGTATTTAGTAAAGCTTATTTAAACATTTCTAGATAAGTGCTATTAAACTTTTTTAACTGTAGGTAAGCAATCATTTGTAAAATGATAAATGAAATACAGTGGTATCTCAGTACTCTAACACAAATTCTGGAGAAAGTTGCTTGCTTCAACTGATCAAATGCAACCTGCCAGAACAAATTTTTGATTAATAACATATTTTTATTTTGTCATCCATAAAAAATTTTTATGATAAAAATAAAAAAATGTGAAAATGTTGCTGATACTTCTGATCAAGATCACCAAAAAAGTTGAGATGACAATGATACTTTGTAAAAAGAAAATGCCCTCGTTTAACTAAAATTAATATTAACACGCAATACACTACTTTTAATTGTGAATGTTAATTAATTATTCATTGGAAATAAATTATCTATTGTTTAAATAAACATATTTCTCTTAGTAATGAAAAAGAATAGTATACTTTTGCTAACTTCTGGAACATAACTGTATGTTTTGCATTAGTTCTTTGTTTTGTATAGCATGGATTTGCATAACAATGTACTTTTTTGGAATGTAACTACTGTGTTATACAAGGGATACATGTAATTTATAAATTAAATTGAAACATTTTGACAGAAGAATTGAATATTATCAAAGATATATCAAAGGAAAACAGGATTGGTAGGGAAAGTAGCTGAGAAAACTACGAAGGAGTGAGATTGAAGAGATTTTTTTTTTTTTAACTAATGTTATAGATGTAGTAAATTAAAGATATGGTAAAGTTCTGTTGTAGATCTTAATGTGTTTACTTTTTCAAATTAAGAAAAAGTAAACACATTAAGATCTACAACAGAACTTTTACATTTTTATTTTTTTATTTTTTTTCTTTTACATTTTTTTATTATTGTTCTTTGATTTTATATTTATTAGATTTAGTTTTGTAATTAATCAGAATTGTTGTCAGTTCCTGAGAATTTTAAACAGACTTTAATTATTGTAAGTTGTATATTTTTGAAATTGATGTAGATTAATAAATATCTGTGATAAAATTAGAATTTAAACATGAATTAATTTTTATTGAAGTTTTTTGAATTGCAACAAAATATTTACTGATGTTTCAAAAATATTAATGTTAATTATATCATCAAATTTTTTCTAGGTACTTAGGCCAAGTTGCTTGCTCTGGATTCTTGCCTTTTTTTCATTGTTAATAACTGTTTTGCTAATTTTTGCTAATTTTTTTTCATTGTTTGATTTAATGAGAAAGTTTTGCATAAGAATTTTGAAAATATTTTGACTATTTTATTATAATAAAGAATAACACAATAAATGTAATAACATTAACAAATCAGATTGATGATATTGTGTAAACTGATTTGTTTGTTATCTGAACTCATATTTTGTATGTCATCTTTCTTGAAACATTAAAACTTTTTTTAACTTCAAATAGTTTGCACTAATTTAATTTACTTGTATTTAGATTCTTATTATTATTTTTATTGATTGAAACTGCAAATTCCTTCATATTTTTCTACCTTATTCATATTATAAATGAATGAAATATTACATAGGTTACATAACTGAAATATTTATAGTATTTCATTTATGTAACTTACTATACTTTGAATTCAGTAAACAAATCTAATTCAAATGACTTTAAAAAAATGGACAAGTTCTCAAATAACAACTATAACACTTTTATAAATACAGCAAAAATTCTTTAATTTTAATGTTTTTGGTCTTATTAAATGATCTTTAGGTTACAAACACAAAATTGTCATGGCCTGAAGAAGGTCATTTAATATGACAAAAAATACTAAAATTAAAGATTTTTTATATTTTTCTTACATAAATGTAAATTACACGAAAAAATTATATTTTTCTTTCACTTCTAACTTTTGGATATTATATAATTTCAATAAATTTTTAAAACATTAAACGTTAACATATAATAACCCTAGTTTTTACATTGGTGAAACAAAGCAATGGCTGAAGATTAGACTGAAGGAACATCTGGCTGCTGTAAGGTTAAAAATTAGTAATTCTCCTGTCTTCCAACACTGTAATAGTAATAATTGTCAGATTAATACTAATAAATAAAAAATTATTTTTAGAGAAAAAAACAGTGTAAAACAGAAGGTAAAAGAACACTTCGCTATAATTATGCAGAACAATAATGTAAATTTAAATACAGGAATGTTAACAGCATAATGCTGGGAATTTTTTGTAAACTATATAAGTGGCTCTTATTAATGAGTTGATTGTTGGAGCATGAACTGTGTACGATTATCCCCACTGAAGAGGCCTTTCATAGGTGAAATGGGGAGCTTGTTAGTAATGTAAATAAAAAGTATTTTTCTCTGCAAACTGATTTCTTTTTATACCATTTTTAGCTTTAATTTTTTAATCATTATTGGTTTAATGTTTTAAAAATTTATTGAAATTATATAATATCCAAAAGTCAGAAGTGAAAGAAAAATATAATTTTTTTGTGTAATTTACATTTCTTACATAAGAAGAATAGAAAAAAGTTTGACTCAATCGTTTTTTACAATTATTTTGGAATATAAAGAGTTTTTGCTGGATTTATAAGGTGTTAAAGTTATTATTTTTAAAGAAAATTTATAAATCGTTTTATTGGAAACTTTCTATTATATTTGACTTAAGAGCCACAATCATACCAATCTTGTGGAAGAAAATTTTGAGAACTATTCCCATATTTTAATATATTTTTTTAATGATATTGTATTATAAAACATTTAATTGACTAATTTTTCAAACATTGATTAACTTAGAATTGTAAATCAGTCAATTCATAAGATATTTTTTATTTTTAATTAAATAAAAAACTTAAGTAAGTTAAATTGAATTAATATATTTTGTTTAAATAAAAATTATTTTAGGTGCTACTAAAGATATTGGATCGGCACTGACTAGATTATGTTTGAGACATCGTAGTGTTGAAACAAAATTCAAATCATATGCAAGGTAAGTTAGTTCTAAAATTAATCCATATTTTAATATTTTAATTTTATTATAATATTTAAATTACCATATTTACTTGCTTATAAGACAAGGTTTTTATTCATTTTTCACTGCTTTAAAAACCTAGGTCATCCTATATGCATGAGTGGAAGATTCTTTGCGTTTTTGCAATAATTTTTGTGAACTGTATATTTGCATTTTTTATTGGGTGCACACCATCTGGTGTTTAAAAACAAAAGTATTTTATCTGGGTCATTTGAATTATTCTTGTATATTGTCAAAAGTAAAGATGAATAGCAATAGGAAAATCAAAGCTTCTGAATTGAATTCTAAATTGAAATTCCAAAATCACACGGGAGCTTGATATAAGTTTTAATTTATTCCCTCATAAAAACAGTTGATTATTCAGAGAAACTCATAAGTGTAATCGACAGAGAGTGGACTTGACTGTTAAGAATTGGCAAAAAAGGTTCCCAATTGTCCAGCTTTACATGAGCAAATTATGTTGTAGATTTTACAAGACTTTTCCTTAATTAAAGTTTAAAATGCCTATAATTTTTGCAGGACAATGTGTGCATTTATATGCATTTGATATTTTATTTGTGATTAAACGAAATAAAATTAGAATTGTATTAATGAATCTAATTTTCTTTATTTTAACTTTTAAAGTCACACCATTTTAATGTAAAATTAAATTAAATTGTAAAAATAATTCTATGCTATATCATCAAATTTTTTCTAGGTACTTAGGCCAAGTTGCTTGCTCTGGATTCTTGCCTTTTTTTCATTGTTAATAACTGTTTTGCTAATTTTTGCTAATTTTTTTTCATTGTTTGATTTAATGAGAAAGTTTTGCATAAGAATTTTGAAAATATTTTGACTATTTTATTATAATAAAGAATAACACAATAAATGTAATAACATTAACAAATCAGATTGATGATATTGTGTAAACTGATTTGTTTGTTATCTGAACTCATATTTTGTATGTCATCTTTCTTGAAACATTAAAACTTTTTTTAACTTCAAATAGTTTGCACTAATTTAATTTACTTGTATTTAGATTCTTATTATTATTTTTATTGATTGAAACTGCAAATTCCTTCATATTTTTCTACCTTATTCATATTATAAATGAATGAAATATTACATAGGTTACATAACTGAAATATTTATAGTATTTCATTTATGTAACTTACTATACTTTGAATTCAGTAAACAAATCTAATTCAAATGACTTTAAAAAAATGGACAAGTTCTCAAATAACAACTATAACACTTTTATAAATACAGCAAAAATTCTTTAATTTTAATGTTTTTGGTCTTATTAAATGATCTTTAGGTTACAAACACAAAATTGTCATGGCCTGAAGAAGGTCATTTAATATGACAAAAAATACTAAAATTAAAGATTTTTTATATTTTTCTTACATAAATGTAAATTACACGAAAAAATTATATTTTTCTTTCACTTCTAACTTTTGGATATTATATAATTTCAATAAATTTTTAAAACATTAAACGTTAACATATAATAACCCTAGTTTTTACATTGGTGAAACAAAGCAATGGCTGAAGATTAGACTGAAGGAACATCTGGCTGCTGTAAGGTTAAAAATTAGTAATTCTCCTGTCTTCCAACACTGTAATAGTAATAATTGTCAGATTAATACTAATAAATAAAAAATTATTTTTAGAGAAAAAAACAGTGTAAAACAGAAGGTAAAAGAACACTTCGCTATAATTATGCAGAACAATAATGTAAATTTAAATACAGGAATGTTAACAGCATAATGCTGGGAATTTTTTGTAAACTATATAAGTGGCTCTTATTAATGAGTTGATTGTTGGAGCATGAACTGTGTACGATTATCCCCACTGAAGAGGCCTTTCATAGGTGAAATGGGGAGCTTGTTAGTAATGTAAATAAAAAGTATTTTTCTCTGCAAACTGATTTCTTTTTATACCATTTTTAGCTTTAATTTTTTAATCATTATTGGTTTAATGTTTTAAAAATTTATTGAAATTATATAATATCCAAAAGTCAGAAGTGAAAGAAAAATATAATTTTTTTGTGTAATTTACATTTCTTACATAAGAAGAATAGAAAAAAGTTTGACTCAATCGTTTTTTACAATTATTTTGGAATATAAAGAGTTTTTGCTGGATTTATAAGGTGTTAAAGTTATTATTTTTAAAGAAAATTTATAAATCGTTTTATTGGAAACTTTCTATTATATTTGACTTAAGAGCCACAATCATACCAATCTTGTGGAAGAAAATTTTGAGAACTATTCCCATATTTTAATATATTTTTTTAATGATATTGTATTATAAAACATTTAATTGACTAATTTTTCAAACATTGATTAACTTAGAATTGTAAATCAGTCAATTCATAAGATATTTTTTATTTTTAATTAAATAAAAAACTTAAGTAAGTTAAATTGAATTAATATATTTTGTTTAAATAAAAATTATTTTAGGTGCTACTAAAGATATTGGATCGGCACTGACTAGATTATGTTTGAGACATCGTAGTGTTGAAACAAAATTCAAATCATATGCAAGGTAAGTTAGTTCTAAAATTAATCCATATTTTAATATTTTAATTTTATTATAATATTTAAATTACCATATTTACTTGCTTATAAGACAAGGTTTTTATTCATTTTTCACTGCTTTAAAAACCTAGGTCATCCTATATGCATGAGTGGAAGATTCTTTGCGTTTTTGCAATAATTTTTGTGAACTGTATATTTGCATTTTTTATTGGGTGCACACCATCTGGTGTTTAAAAACAAAAGTATTTTATCTGGGTCATTTGAATTATTCTTGTATATTGTCAAAAGTAAAGATGAATAGCAATAGGAAAATCAAAGCTTCTGAATTGAATTCTAAATTGAAATTCCAAAATCACACGGGAGCTTGATATAAGTTTTAATTTATTCCCTCATAAAAACAGTTGATTATTCAGAGAAACTCATAAGTGTAATCGACAGAGAGTGGACTTGACTGTTAAGAATTGGCAAAAAAGGTTCCCAATTGTCCAGCTTTACATGAGCAAATTATGTTGTAGATTTTACAAGACTTTTCCTTAATTAAAGTTTAAAATGCCTATAATTTTTGCAGGACAATGTGTGCATTTATATGCATTTGATATTTTATTTGTGATTAAACGAAATAAAATTAGAATTGTATTAATGAATCTAATTTTCTTTATTTTAACTTTTAAAGTCACACCATTTTAATGTAAAATTAAATTAAATTGTAAAAATAATTCTATGCTACTTTACTAATTATATATATATAAATAAATGAGTTGATGACATGGAAGTGGCAATGCTGATCTCAGCACTGTCTATTGTTCACTTTTTAACTAATTTTTGAAAAAATAACTTTATATTTAATTGATATTCTTACTGCAAGGTCTATTTCCCTTATAGCCTTTATATCATGTAAAATAATAAAATGATTGCTTTTGGGGTGTGAATTGAATGATTCTATTTAACTAATGAAAAATGGACAATTATTTGCTTAACAATTGACACCAGAAGTAAATGTTTCAAACCCATTAAACTATTTATTGCCCTTAATGGTTTTCTAATTTATTCAATTACAGTCAAACTTTGGTTTATGAACTTAATTCATTCCTAAAAGTTGTTGGGAAACCAATTTGTTCTCAGACAGAAACAAATTTTTCCATAAGAAATGGATTTTCCCAATGTAAAATGAATTAATCCATTCCAGACCCCAAACAAATCTTTCTTTACTTTTTTAGCTGTATTTTATACATAAAATGCCTATAAATGCAATATAATATTACTTTATCTATATCTATACCTATATTTATTATATATATATTAAAAGCAAAATGTTCTGACACTTCCAACTGAAACTGCAAACAAAACTAACACTTCACAAAGAAGTGATATAAATAGACTCAACTTGCCAAAATGGACAAGTCCTTTATCCACACTTTCTGAAATATTTTGTTTCAATTGATCTCATTTTTAATTTATATGTGAATGTCAATTAATGTGGTTTTTATTAATTAATTTTGATTTAAATTTAACTGCGACATGCACTGAAAAATGGAAATAGTATCTTTTCCATATATGGATTTAAATGTAATTTAAATAGCGACATCATCAATGATCCATTATGTGACCTGAGGTGATCTTGGTGCCATTAATTTCTGAATCTGTAATCCTGTCATTGATTGGTTGGGCCATTGACTTTCTTTAGGAACACAGGAAGTGTAGGGAGTTGACCATCTGTGGACGACTCTTGCTGAGTAGCTTGTTTGGCAACCGAGTTATTGTATGGCAACTGGGGCAAGTATAAAGGTCAAAATTTTGTTTGTAAACAGGTGTTTGTAACCCAAGATTTGACTGTATTGATACAAAAAAGCAATGCCATTTAGCATGAAAGGCCTTCTCCCAAAGTAAAATTTAACAATACCCCATAAAATACAAAATAAAAAGATTAAAATATAATGATATATTCTACCCAAATTGCATGACATTTAGTAAAGGGATGCTAACTAGTACACATACATGTCCTTTTTAAAATAAATATATATATACAATTTCTTGACAGTATACTGAACAGCACTTCAAGAAGTTGATAAAAAATTGAAATGAATATATAGATATTTTTTAATTGAAAAATTCAANATTGATAATAGACTTGCTAGCATGGAACTTGAGCACCCAAAATGTGTGACAATGCGCGAAGCACCCTCTATGCTTCTGCACCACTTGACCAAAGCGTCAACATCACTTCAGCGATGATTATGTCACGATAGAAGACACCACACAGCAACTCGGGCTGTTTTTGTTTAATGTCTGTGTTGTTGTTGCTATGTCACGTGAGTGGTTGCATGTGCAGGCAATTGGATTCAGGATGGAGGCAATCTGAAATACAATAGCTTGTGTGAAGGAGGTTGGAGAGATGGCAAATCGCAAGTGAATCACTCAGATGCCAGTTTAACAACTAATAATTGTTTATTTGAAAAGGAAAAATGATTACATGATATATACATTGTACTGTGTCAGAATAACCGACCTATACATCATAGGTGGTTGCGAGAGAGAGAGAGTTTACAGGATATTGCATGTAGACATAAATACCTGAAGTTTAGTTGATCTGCTAGTAGATGTGGTAACCTCTTTATCCTGAGAATAAAGGTGAAATCTAGGATTGTCCTGAGGTTTGTTGATGAAATTAGTCCTATTAGGAAGCAATTAAGTAGTCCATTTTGGTGACAATGTTAATCCAAATAAGAGGCACTTAATAAGTCTGTTTGGCAACAGAATTAAACCAAATAGGAGGCACAGTGCAAACGTGGTGGGTTAAGGAGCTGGCAGCGACTTCTCTTATAAGATCAGGTGACGACTGTAACCATCAGAGGAACAGGCAGCGACTGCTTCAACGAGCTGTTAATTGTTATATTAAAGTCAGTAGCATATGGCCAAGAAGCCAAAAGGTTACAGGAAAGCATTGATTTCGGTATCGAGTACATGTAAGACGAGATGTTCTCAAGTAAAAGTTTTTTCCACAGAAAAGAAAAACAAACTTACTTTTCGAACAACCCAATATTTTCATCATATTTCATTAAGTGTTAGTTTATTCATTGTAATGTTAAGTGAAATTCGACTTTTATGATGATGATAACTTAATTAGCTTAATTTTTAGAAGTTAGTTATATTAAAAGTGTTATAAGATTTGCTTATGAAATTAAATTAGCTATATAAAAATAATATAAAATGTTAGAATTAATGTGTATGAATTATGATTTCATTTATACATATATAAATTATAAAGCTAATCTTGAATGTTTTAATTTATGAGATTAAACTTTCAAAAAATAAACATTGTCTGTATTATCTTTTATTCAGCTCAAATAAGAATTTTTTTATGCCAGCTTTTTCAGTAATATTGCCAAGTACTTAATAAAAAATTCAATAGTGTTCACTAAAAGTTTAATTTTTATCACACAATTATTATAAGAATATTAATAATGCATAAATTTCAAAACACAATGAAATAAATATTATCACATAACATATCTATTTAAGAAAGAAAAAATAAATAATTAAAGTTAACATATAGTTTTGTTCATAATTTTTAATTATAACATTTTATAACAAGTCATAGTAAGCTAAGAAGAACCTATCACACAATATTTTTAAGAAAACAAATGTTTTTAAAATATTTTATTTTTCTATCAAATATTTTAAAAACAATTAAAACAACAGGTTTAATTGAATGATTTATATAATTTATAAAATTTAATAAGTAAAACCAAAACATTCAAAAAATATTAAACCTAGAGATAAAGAAAGATAAGAAATCTATTATAAAAGTTAAAACAAAATAAAACACAATAATACTTTACAGATATACATATTAGAAAATATATAAGTACAGGGTAAGTCAAAAGGCTCTCCCCTATTTTGAAAAATTGTTTTACCCATATCATTGAAGATACCTTGAACATGTAACAATGCATGTAGAAACTTTGAAATTTTTTTGGTTCCTACAGATGCTCAATATGTACACTGCAGATGACATAGTACATGTCTGTTTGGTTATCTAGTTCTGCCACACCTTACTCACCATGTCTGCTTGGATGGTCTCTACAATGTTGTCAATGTATATCTTCAGCTCAGTTATGTTAGAAAGCAATGGTGATACAAATAGTGTCTTTAATGTATCCCCACAAGAAATAGTCACAAGAATTGAAATCTGGTGACCAAGAAGCAACATCGATTGTCATTGGCACACCCACATCTGATTTAGTGTTGTGGGAGGGTTGTGTTCAAGTAAGTGCAAGCATTATGATGAAAGTGCAGAGGTGCTTTTTTATCATAATGCTTGAATATGAAATTGAGGTGGTCTTGTAGCTGTGGCATCAACCATTCTGTCAACATGTCCAGATATGACATGCAGGTGACAGTGATTTTTTGAAACTGTGTGTACAAAGCATGAATTGTCTTGCCTGTCAGTGACTGCTTTGCATAAATGGTGCAAAAACTATACTGAATATTGATAATAGACTTGCTAGCATGGAACTTGAGCACCCAAAATGTGTGACAATGCGCGAAGCACCCTCTATGCTTCTGCACCACTTGACCAAAGCGTCAACATCACTTCAGCGATGATTATGTCACGATAGAAGACACCACACAGCAACTCGGGCTGTTTTTGTTTAATGTCTGTGTTGTTGTTGCTATGTCACGTGAGTGGTTGCATGTGCAGGCAATTGGATTCAGGATGGAGGCAATCTGAAATACAATAGCTTGTGTGAAGGAGGTTGGAGAGATGGCAAATCGCAAGTGAATCACTCAGATGCCAGTTTAACAACTAATAATTGTTTATTTGAAAAGGAAAAATGATTACATGATATATACATTGTACTGTGTCAGAATAACCGACCTATACATCATAGGTGGTTGCGAGAGAGAGAGAGTTTACAGGATATTGCATGTAGACATAAATACCTGAAGTTTAGTTGATCTGCTAGTAGATGTGGTAACCTCTTTATCCTGAGAATAAAGGTGAAATCTAGGATTGTCCTGAGTTTTGTTGATGAAATTAGTCCTATTAGGAAGCAATTAAGTAGTCCATTTTGGTGACAATGTTAATCCAAATAAGAGGCACTTAATAAGTCTGTTTGGCAACAGAATTAAACCAAATAGGAGGCACAGTGCAAACGTGGTGGGTTAAGGAGCTGGCAGCGACTTCTCTTATAAGATCAGGTGACGACTGTAACCATCAGAGGAACAGGCAGCGACTGCTTCAACGAGCTGTTAATTGTTATATTAAAGTCAGTAGCATATGGCCAAGAAGCCAAAAGGTTACAGGAAAGCATTGATTTCGGTATCGAGTACATGTAAGACGAGATGTTCTCAAGTAAAAGTTGACAATTATCAAATGATAATCATCAATTATATATATGACAAAATTGTATTATTTTCAGTTGAAGTCTGGATTCCCACAAATGCAATGGAGAATTTTTTTTAAGCATTTGTGTGGCTGTCATTTTTACTCTACTCCGTCCACAGCAATTTTACATAACTATGTCTAGAAGGAGAGATACAGAAAAAGTTTTCAGTTTCTTTGTGTTGATGTGCAGTTTTACTCATAAAAATATATTAACTACCAAGTACTGATTTTTCAAAATCAGGTAGACCTTTTTGACTTACCTTGTATTTTGATAATCCTAACATGATTAACTTGCTATCAGACTACCAAGCAAGAACCAAACCTGCCTGAAAAAAGGTTAATTTTTGTAATTTTTTTTTTTAACCTATATAAAATGTTTAGCGTAATATAATTGTTTTTAAAGAATGATTTTAAATAATCCAATTCATAATGTTATAAAACATCAAATTACGAAAATTTTATAAACCACAGTTGTGAACTGCATAAACCCCATGTTAGGATCTTGCACTAATTGTGGATTATGGTTCATAGGAATCCTTTTGAATGTGTGAACGGTTGCATATGGGAGATTCAAAGTAAGCGAACAGAGGAAGTTGAAAGACAATGACCTGGAAGTGATTCATTTTGCAAGCAATTAAACATTAAAACAACAAAGATTTATTTAACCTTGAGTAACTAACATTGAACACATTTAATAATATAATATTTAACATATTTATTGGAAAAATGCCTGACACATCTCTCCACTATCTAATGCTATCTATCTGGAGAGAGAGAGACTTAAATTGCACAAGAGACAAATATTTTCAATTTAGCTTGTTAAAAGTGTCATGAAGTTTCTTTGATGGTGAGGCATTCCTTCATTGCAGTCCCTCACAAAATATTCACTAAGTCCTTATCCAAATCTGGTGCACAATCAATAAGGTGTTGGATCATGATTGGGAGGAGAGGAACCTTCTGTGACTTCTCAGGAAGGGAGGACCTTATGGAAAACAGCCTAGGTCAGCAATGACATTGGGCAAACGCTCTGACCTTCTTTCGCTTTCCCCCCTTTATTTGGTTCTTGTCCACTACATCCATATGCCCAGATTTGGTCAAGATTGTGCAGGGAGCTTTACCATTGTCCAATCCAGTTTTTTTCTACTAACTTTCCTGGATAAGTGAAACTCAATAGATGTGTTACTCAGAAAGAAAATGACATAAAGATAAAGTTTCATGAACTTCCATGTCAACTTCCCAAGATTTTAGTTTAGTTAAACTTCAATTATTTAATATTTGAAATAAATTAAAAATAATGGCCAGGGATCTCATAAAATAAATTTTTAATTTAAAAATTAATGTAAATATGTAGGCTGGACATCATGCTGACAAATGTACATACACAAAGTGAATAAGACAACATAAAAGAGAATAACTCAACATAAAATAATTAATTCCAACTGAATTAAATAATAATAATAATAATAATAATTCAATTTTTTAATTAAAATTTTAATTAATTCAAATATTTGCAGAATATAAAAGAGTAAGACAAGAAATAAAGAAAAAATCTACAGATACTTTACGATTACAGAAAAAGATTCGAAAAGGTCAGTTTGTGTGCATGTGCATTTTTTATATAAATTGTATTGATTATTCTTTTGAGATTATTGAATTCTAAAAAAAATCACTTACTTCTATTTACAAAAGGTATATCTTCAAGAAAAATGAAAATTCAGAAACAATATTTTAAAGCAGTTTTTTCAATCTTTATTCAATCTTGACAGAACATTTCAAATACAATGGAACCTGCCAATGTGACCACCTTTATAACATGACCATCTCTCTATGATTACTAATTTTATTTGGCCTGAAATTTACTCCATAAATTTCAGAGAGACTTTTTCTCTGTATAGTGATTATCTGTTTATAGTGTGATAGTTAGATCTGGTTTTCCTGAAATGTAACCTGTTAAAGTGACCACTTTACAGAGAAAAGCTGATGGGTTTTTGGGCTACTGGCAACTCACATGACATGAAGTCATCCTACTTATAGGTCAACATCTGCTTCCCACATACTATAGTATTTACTTCGAAATGTTGTAAATCCATTACCAGAAGTCTCTTCAAAGTGCTACAACTGCTATAAGAAACTAAATTCAGTCCAAAAATCACTAAAAATGTTAAATAAATATTCTAAAAACTGAAAAATGAGAAATAATTTTATTACCTCTGAAATTGCCTTTTTATGCTATTTTAGGTCAATATCTAATTTCTTGGGCATTAGTGATTATAAATTTTTGGCTGGATTTTATGCTTGTTTAGTCTAAAATTTTCAGATATCTGGCAACACTGTTCAGACAGAAGTTAGAAAACTCCAGAAATATCAGTTTTTCATTGTACTGAAAATTTTTCTCTTATATGTCATACATAAGTGTATTCTGTAGTTTTGTATGTTTTATTCATTACTGATAGCATCTAAAATCTGTTCTGCAACTCCACAGCCTTCAACTATGGCTCCAACCAAACCATACAGAGAACTCTCTCTGAAAGAAAAAGTTGAAGTTATCAAGTTTCATGAATCCAGTAGTCAGTGAAAAGCAGCAGTCTTTGGATCAGGGAATAGTAGGGACATTTAAATTGAATTATAGAAAATATCTTTTATGAGCAATTATAGCAAGACAGAGAAAGGAAAAACTACAAATGAAATTGCTAACTCTGTCAACATTTTGATGAAATATATGGTGGATTAAGGCATCATGGGTTGAAATTCACACTACAACCATAAAAAAATGCTTCAAGTATGAATTTATTACAAATATGGATGAGCAAACTATAATGTGTCTGATGAGAATTATCACAATCTTCAGGAACTTATTGATGAACTGTCAGATAACAGTGAGATCAGTTCAAATGAATATGTGAATGTGGATGCACAGCTTCAAGTTTGCAATCATATAGAATCAGTCGATCTAGTGAATGACATTTTAACAGACGTTCAGAATGTTAATCCAGCTATTGTGCTTTTGGCTCTTGCAGATGAAAAAGATGGTGAAGATACAAGTATTGTTATAGAATCTTACAGAAAAAATGTGCTAGCTATGTGTGAAAAATTTGCTGTATGTTACTGCAAATTGTCCAACAATGCTTAAAATCATCTACAAATTGTTAAAAGAGACAGAATGCAAAATTCTGCAGAAAAAAATTATCCATGAAGCAAACAGATATTGCCAACTATTGTACATCTCAATAAAAATAAGACATTATTTTTACCAAATTAAATTTTTTGTATTGTATTGCAGTGTTTTATGAAATTAATGTGTATCCTACTTGTCATCTAAGTCTTGTGCTATATAAATCTACAGCTGTCAACACAAATAGAAATAAATTCACAAAACCTACAAAAAATTGCACAGAGTTTGCTTGTGTTTGCTTGATATAATGTATGTGTTCTCTATATACTGACCATTTATCTTGGTCCCAAGAATGGCCACCTTAAGCAGCTTCCACTGTATGTGAAAAATTTATAGAATACAGCTTATGTAAACACTTATTTGAAACTGATGGGATAGTTTTTGATGTATGTTGGAATATTTGTCAAGATTTTGCAAAAATCGCAATCAAAATTGTAAAAAAAAATTGTAAATCATCTAGAGTAGGTTACAAAGAGTAAATTTATGAAGCTAAAATCCAGTATAAAATTGTTCAATTTTTAGAATATTGCCAAACATAGCAACAATATTTTTATGGATTTTTTTCTCCCCTGTTTATTTATTATTCATCAGATAAAATGATTAGTTGTAGGTATCTAATAACTAATTTGTAATAAGTTTGACAGAAATAAAAATGAAATATGTCATAATAATAATAATAATGTAAAAAGGTCAAAATTTAATTATTAATATTGAATTATATGTAAATTTCATTTATAATTATTTTTGTTAATATTATGCATGAATATGTTTGTGGCTTTGTGTGTGTGTGTTGTGTACAGTAAGTGCTACTTATTGCAATATCCATTGTGGATATTGTTATCAGACTAATATTATCAGAATCAACATGTTCCAAAACATATAAATTAAATAACAGTACAAAACTTTCACTTATTGTAATCAGAAATTCTTTATAATGGTAAGTTTGAATTTGCTTAGCCAACTGACAAAACAGATAATAATGGTTAGAAGCCATGTTGTTCCAACAAAATTGTTAGTACAACAGTCAGAATTAATATAAATTAAATTTTTTAATCTGTTATTTACTCTTAATATGTTAAACATTAGTTTTAATCTTGTACTTAATACTGTATACAGTACTGTAGTTTAAATTTCAATTTCTGGTACTTGTTACTTCATTTATAGACTAACTGTTTGTTATTTGTTGAAGATTGTGATCTTCATTACTGTTTAATTAAAATACAGTACTATACTATACTTCTTAACATAATAGAAGAAGCAAATAAAAAATGCAAAGATTTTCCCTGAAAGATAAACTTGAAATTTTAGAATGCAATGATAGATTACTGTGAAGCTCTGTTATCATAAAATAAAAAAATCACAATAATGTGAAAAATTATGAAATAATTAAATATATTTTATTTTAAAAGTCAGTATATTAAAACAGTAAGCTAGTAAAATTTAAAATATCATTTCTTACTATTTATTTTTAAATACTTAAGGACAATTTAAATTAAAATTTTCATTTTCATTGAATTTTATTCTTTAGGTGGAATAAAGATTTTAATAATTTTTTGTAATTGGAAATAGGAATTCAATATTCCCAGTTAATAGAAAATTATTATTTGTAAAACAATCAAATTCAAATAAATGCACATTATACTGTTGATTTTGATAACCAAAAAAATGTTTATTAACTAAGAGAGAACAATTGATAATTGAGTCATTCACAGGCCAATCGATTAACTCCATTTGTAAATCCTTAATATAATAGTTTTTATTTTTACATTTTTTACGTAACTAATTTTATATATTGTTACATTAAAGCTATACTTTAATATAACATTATATAAAGATACATTCTACAATGTTTATTTAAATTTAAAGCTTAAAAGGAATTTTTAAAAATAATTTATATTANAATGTGGTTAAAAATAACATATTGTAAATATTAATGTAATATTTAAACTTGAATTGGACATTGAAAATGAAACAATTTTATATTTAAGTTCAATTCCAATGTTATCTTTCAAAAAGTTTATTTTAAATTTCTTTATTGAAAATTTTTATAAATTGCAAATTTTTAAAATTTTTATTGAACTGTCTTCTTTGAAAAGCTCTGTTACTCTTTATTTTCACTATTTCTTAGCACTCATGCTGATTGAACTTATAAAGATATAATAAAGCTTTGATTATGGCAGCAACACTTTATTTGTTTATTGTAAATTAATAACCATCATTATATTTTGTAATATTTAATTTATTTCTAAAAAGATTCTTAGAACATCATTTCAATTTCTATCATAATTCATTTTTGTTTCTGTTTTGGAAAGAATAGACCTTAAAGGAACCTTTTTTTCCTTTTTCCTTGTGAAACTATTTTCTTTGAAACTATTATTTCTGTTTGAATCTCTTTATGTTTGTAGAAATTTACATCTAAAAATTCCTGGCAAAATAGGATTCACGATTCTAAAATCCATAAGGATCCTGGAAAATTTCTTAAAAATTTATTGGATAACATATATGAAGATAAATAATATATCTTTATTCAGTAATATTGATTTAATCAAGATCAATGAAAGTTTCATTAACACTTTGGTGGGTATGCCTTTTAGAGTTTTGTGAGAGGCTGCATTGTGGCTATTACATCACATATATAATATTATTTTATATCCTTCAATATTTATTTATTTTTATTTTTTGAAAATATGAATAAAGAGAAGGAGGAGTTAATCTTAAAACTTTTTATTGAACAAATGCAGTTATAAAACATCTAGATAATTAAAAAATAGGTCACTCCACTTCCGTTGCTCAGTTTTACACATGGCACATATAAGGACTATAAAACAGTTAATACAGACATTTTTACCACATTCTTGACAGATTAGTTGTGTTCTACTATTCTTGTCTTCTATAAAAATTCATCTGCCTAATCAGCTGATTGTTTGGAGTCATTGTGCAATTATCTTCTATTATCTTTCACTTTTCTGACTCAGTTTTAGTGTCATAATCAGCTTCTTCTGGCTCTTTTCTTTTTTCCTATCAATTCCCTCACAACTTGTTTTAAAGCACTATTTAATTCCTTCTGGGTCAAAGCTGAGTAAGAGCTAGAAACATCCTGAAAATCTATGCATCCTGAAAACTGTTTGGTATATTTTCAAACTAATATAAGTCTAAGAATTTATTGAAACTATGATATTTTTAAATAAAAATATTTATGCAATGGGTATGCAAAAAGTAGACTACTGTTTCAAATACATTTTAAAAATAAATAGAAAAATTACCACAAATTATATTTACATCATAAGGTTACATATCTTATGATGTAAATATAATTTTCAGTAACTTTTCTATTTATGTGGTGGCAGTTACATCACAGATATGATATCACCTAATTCAGAGCTCAGAAATAACTAAGTGGTTAGAAACAGGAAAATCATTAAAATCATTATACATGTAGATGGTGATGTATGCTATGAATAAGAAATACTGAAGTGCACTTCTGCACCACCTATGCACAATGTCTTAAATGAGACATTATCAGAATTGTGCAGCAATTTGACACAGGTATGACTTCTGAAGGATTATTAAATCACAATTGTCAAAATATCCTTACATTGATTTAGAATTACATGTTTCCTTTTCAATAACTGTGCATCTAACTCTAAACTAATTCTAATAGACCAACTTTATTAAAAATTTTAATTTTTCATTATTATAAGAATTATCCTTTCTTAGACATATGAATTAGAAGAGTTATGTTTCTCTATTATGAGACAAAGCTTTTAATTCTCTTTTTGAATCTTAAAGATTCTTGGATTTGTATATCTCATTATTTTTATTCCAGAGGTTAAATTATATACATACCAAAAAAAAAACAGTAGGACAACAGAGTTGCAGGTTCAGACATTTCTACAAGATGCAGGGAGCGGTTACATGTGTAAGGTAACACACCTCCTTTGCAACCGCTCCCTGCATCTTGTGGAAATGTCTGAACCTGCAACTCTGTTGTCCTACTGTTTTTTTTTGGTATGTATATAATTTAAACTGGCTGTATAACATTAGTTCATAACTGTTAACCAATATTTCGGCTAACTCATAACTATTTTTGTATCAGCNTTTAATTTATGAGATTAAACTTTCAAAAAATAAACATTGTCTGTATTATCTTTTATTCAGCTCAAATAAGAATTTTTTTATGCCAGCTTTTTCAGTAATATTGCCAAGTACTTAATAAAAAATTCAATAGTGTTCACTAAAAGTTTAATTTTTATCACACAATTATTATAAGAATATTAATAATGCATAAATTTCAAAACACAATGAAATAAATATTATCACATAACATATCTATTTAAGAAAGAAAAAATAAATAATTAAAGTTAACATATAGTTTTGTTCATAATTTTTAATTATAACATTTTATAACAAGTCATAGTAAGCTAAGAAGAACCTATCACACAATATTTTTAAGAAAACAAATGTTTTTAAAATATTTTATTTTTCTATCAAATATTTTAAAAACAATTAAAACAACAGGTTTAATTGAATGATTTATATAATTTATAAAATTTAATAAGTAAAACCAAAACATTCAAAAAATATTAAACCTAGAGATAAAGAAAGATAAGAAATCTATTATAAAAGTTAAAACAAAATAAAACACAATAATACTTTACAGATATACATATTAGAAAATATATAAGTACAGGGTAAGTCAAAAGGCTCTCCCCTATTTTGAAAAATTGTTTTACCCATATCATTGAAGATACCTTGAACATGTAACAATGCATGTAGAAACTTTGAAATTTTTTTGGTTCCTACAGATGCTCAATATGTACACTGCAGATGACATAGTACATGTCTGTTTGGTTATCTAGTTCTGCCACACCTTACTCACCATGTCTGCTTGGATGGTCTCTACAATGTTGTCAATGTATATCTTCAGCTCAGTTATGTTAGAAAGCAATGGTGATACAAATAGTGTCTTTAATGTATCCCCACAAGAAATAGTCACAAGAATTGAAATCTGGTGACCAAGAAGCAACATCGATTGTCATTGGCACACCCACATCTGATTTAGTGTTGTGGGAGGGTTGTGTTCAAGTAAGTGCAAGCATTATGATGAAAGTGCAGAGGTGCTTTTTTATCATAATGCTTGAATATGAAATTGAGGTGGTCTTGTAGCTGTGGCATCAACCATTCTGTCAACATGTCCAGATATGACATGCAGGTGACAGTGATTTTTTGAAACTGTGTGTACAAAGCATGAATTGTCTTGCCTGTCAGTGACTGCTTTGCATAAATGGTGCAAAAACTATACTGAATATTGATAATAGACTTGCTAGCATGGAACTTGAGCACCCAAAATGTGTGACAATGCGCGAAGCACCCTCTATGCTTCTGCACCACTTGACCAAAGCGTCAACATCACTTCAGCGATGATTATGTCACGATAGAAGACACCACACAGCAACTCGGGCTGTTTTTGTTTAATGTCTGTGTTGTTGTTGCTATGTCACGTGAGTGGTTGCATGTGCAGGCAATTGGATTCAGGATGGAGGCAATCTGAAATACAATAGCTTGTGTGAAGGAGGTTGGAGAGATGGCAAATCGCAAGTGAATCACTCAGATGCCAGTTTAACAACTAATAATTGTTTATTTGAAAAGGAAAAATGATTACATGATATATACATTGTACTGTGTCAGAATAACCGACCTATACATCATAGGTGGTTGCGAGAGAGAGAGAGTTTACAGGATATTGCATGTAGACATAAATACCTGAAGTTTAGTTGATCTGCTAGTAGATGTGGTAACCTCTTTATCCTGAGAATAAAGGTGAAATCTAGGATTGTCCTGAGTTTTGTTGATGAAATTAGTCCTATTAGGAAGCAATTAAGTAGTCCATTTTGGTGACAATGTTAATCCAAATAAGAGGCACTTAATAAGTCTGTTTGGCAACAGAATTAATCCAAATAGGAGGCACAGTGCAAACGTGGTGGGTTAAGGAGCTGGCAGCGACTTCTCTTATAAGATCAGGTGACGACTGTAACCATCAGAGGAACAGGCAGCGACTGCTTCAACGAGCTGTTAATTGTTATATTAAAGTCAGTAGCATATGGCCAAGAAGCCAAAAGGTTACAGGAAAGCATTGATTTCGGTATCGAGTACATGTAAGACGAGATGTTCTCAAGTAAAAGTTGACAATTATCAAATGATAATCATCAATTATATATATGACAAAATTGTATTATTTTCAGTTGAAGTCTGGATTCCCACAAATGCAATGGAGAATTTTTTTTAAGCATTTGTGTGGCTGTCATTTTTACTCTACTCCGTCCACAGCAATTTTACATAACTATGTCTAGAAGGAGAGATACAGAAAAAGTTTTCAGTTTCTTTGTGTTGATGTGCAGTTTTACTCATAAAAATATATTAACTACCAAGTACTGATTTTTCAAAATCAGGTAGACCTTTTTGACTTACCTTGTATTTTGATAATCCTAACATGATTAACTTGCTATCAGACTACCAAGCAAGAACCAAACCTGCCTGAAAAAAGGTTAATTTTTGTAATTTTTTTTTTTAACCTATATAAAATGTTTAGCGTAATATAATTGTTTTTAAAGAATGATTTTAAATAATCCAATTCATAATGTTATAAAACATCAAATTACGAAAATTTTATAAACCACAGTTGTGAACTGCATAAACCCCATGTTAGGATCTTGCACTAATTGTGGATTATGGTTCATAGGAATCCTTTTGAATGTGTGAACGGTTGCATATGGGAGATTCAAAGTAAGCGAACAGAGGAAGTTGAAAGACAATGACCTGGAAGTGATTCATTTTGCAAGCAATTAAACATTAAAACAACAAAGATTTATTTAACCTTGAGTAACTAACATTGAACACATTTAATAATATAATATTTAACATATTTATTGGAAAAATGCCTGACACATCTCTCCACTATCTAATGCTATCTATCTGGAGAGAGAGAGACTTAAATTGCACAAGAGACAAATATTTTCAATTTAGCTTGTTAAAAGTGTCATGAAGTTTCTTTGATGGTGAGGCATTCCTTCATTGCAGTCCCTCACAAAATATTCACTAAGTCCTTATCCAAATCTGGTGCACAATCAATAAGGTGTTGGATCATGATTGGGAGGAGAGGAACCTTCTGTGACTTCTCAGGAAGGGAGGACCTTATGGAAAACAGCCTAGGTCAGCAATGACATTGGGCAAACGCTCTGACCTTCTTTCGCTTTCCCCCCTTTATTTGGTTCTTGTCCACTACATCCATATGCCCAGATTTGGTCAAGATTGTGCAGGGAGCTTTACCATTGTCCAATCCAGTTTTTTTCTACTAACTTTCCTGGATAAGTGAAACTCAATAGATGTGTTACTCAGAAAGAAAATGACATAAAGATAAAGTTTCATGAACTTCCATGTCAACTTCCCAAGATTTTAGTTTAGTTAAACTTCAATTATTTAATATTTGAAATAAATTAAAAATAATGGCCAGGGATCTCATAAAATAAATTTTTAATTTAAAAATTAATGTAAATATGTAGGCTGGACATCATGCTGACAAATGTACATACACAAAGTGAATAAGACAACATAAAAGAGAATAACTCAACATAAAATAATTAATTCCAACTGAATTAAATAATAATAATAATAATAATAATTCAATTTTTTAATTAAAATTTTAATTAATTCAAATATTTGCAGAATATAAAAGAGTAAGACAAGAAATAAAGAAAAAATCTACAGATACTTTACGATTACAGAAAAAGATTCGAAAAGGTCAGTTTGTGTGCATGTGCATTTTTTATATAAATTGTATTGATTATTCTTTTGAGATTATTGAATTCTAAAAAAAATCACTTACTTCTATTTACAAAAGGTATATCTTCAAGAAAAATGAAAATTCAGAAACAATATTTTAAAGCAGTTTTTTCAATCTTTATTCAATCTTGACAGAACATTTCAAATACAATGGAACCTGCCAATGTGACCACCTTTATAACATGACCATCTCTCTATGATTACTAATTTTATTTGGCCTGAAATTTACTCCATAAATTTCAGAGAGACTTTTTCTCTGTATAGTGATTATCTGTTTATAGTGTGATAGTTAGATCTGGTTTTCCTGAAATGTAACCTGTTAAAGTGACCACTTTACAGAGAAAAGCTGATGGGTTTTTGGGCTACTGGCAACTCACATGACATGAAGTCATCCTACTTATAGGTCAACATCTGCTTCCCACATACTATAGTATTTACTTCGAAATGTTGTAAATCCATTACCAGAAGTCTCTTCAAAGTGCTACAACTGCTATAAGAAACTAAATTCAGTCCAAAAATCACTAAAAATGTTAAATAAATATTCTAAAAACTGAAAAATGAGAAATAATTTTATTACCTCTGAAATTGCCTTTTTATGCTATTTTAGGTCAATATCTAATTTCTTGGGCATTAGTGATTATAAATTTTTGGCTGGATTTTATGCTTGTTTAGTCTAAAATTTTCAGATATCTGGCAACACTGTTCAGACAGAAGTTAGAAAACTCCAGAAATATCAGTTTTTCATTGTACTGAAAATTTTTCTCTTATATGTCATACATAAGTGTATTCTGTAGTTTTGTATGTTTTATTCATTACTGATAGCATCTAAAATCTGTTCTGCAACTCCACAGCCTTCAACTATGGCTCCAACCAAACCATACAGAGAACTCTCTCTGAAAGAAAAAGTTGAAGTTATCAAGTTTCATGAATCCAGTAGTCAGTGAAAAGCAGCAGTCTTTGGATCAGGGAATAGTAGGGACATTTAAATTGAATTATAGAAAATATCTTTTATGAGCAATTATAGCAAGACAGAGAAAGGAAAAACTACAAATGAAATTGCTAACTCTGTCAACATTTTGATGAAATATATGGTGGATTAAGGCATCATGGGTTGAAATTCACACTACAACCATAAAAAAATGCTTCAAGTATGAATTTATTACAAATATGGATGAGCAAACTATAATGTGTCTGATGAGAATTATCACAATCTTCAGGAACTTATTGATGAACTGTCAGATAACAGTGAGATCAGTTCAAATGAATATGTGAATGTGGATGCACAGCTTCAAGTTTGCAATCATATAGAATCAGTCGATCTAGTGAATGACATTTTAACAGACGTTCAGAATGTTAATCCAGCTATTGTGCTTTTGGCTCTTGCAGATGAAAAAGATGGTGAAGATACAAGTATTGTTATAGAATCTTACAGAAAAAATGTGCTAGCTATGTGTGAAAAATTTGCTGTATGTTACTGCAAATTGTCCAACAATGCTTAAAATCATCTACAAATTGTTAAAAGAGACAGAATGCAAAATTCTGCAGAAAAAAATTATCCATGAAGCAAACAGATATTGCCAACTATTGTACATCTCAATAAAAATAAGACATTATTTTTACCAAATTAAATTTTTTGTATTGTATTGCAGTGTTTTATGAAATTAATGTGTATCCTACTTGTCATCTAAGTCTTGTGCTATATAAATCTACAGCTGTCAACACAAATAGAAATAAATTCACAAAACCTACAAAAAATTGCACAGAGTTTGCTTGTGTTTGCTTGATATAATGTATGTGTTCTCTATATACTGACCATTTATCTTGGTCCCAAGAATGGCCACCTTAAGCAGGTTCCACTGTATGTGAAAAATTTATAGAATACAGCTTATGTAAACACTTATTTGAAACTGATGGGATAGTTTTTGATGTATGTTGGAATATTTGTCAAGATTTTGCAAAAATCGCAATCAAAATTGTAAAAAAAAATTGTAAATCATCTAGAGTAGGTTACAAAGAGTAAATTTATGAAGCTAAAATCCAGTATAAAATTGTTCAATTTTTAGAATATTGCCAAACATAGCAACAATATTTTTATGGATTTTTTTCTCCCCTGTTTATTTATTATTCATCAGATAAAATGATTAGTTGTAGGTATCTAATAACTAATTTGTAATAAGTTCAATCAAAATTGTAAAAAAAAATTGTAAATCATCTAGAGTAGGTTACAAAGAGTAAATTTATGAAGCTAAAATCCAGTATAAAATTGTTCAATTTTTAGAATATTGCCAAACATAGCAACAATATTTTTATGGATTTTTTTCTCCCCTGTTTATTTATTATTCATCAGATAAAATGATTAGTTGTAGGTATCTAATAACTAATTTGTAATAAGTTTGACAGAAATAAAAATGAAATATGTCATAATAATAATAATAATGTAAAAAGGTCAAAATTTAATTATTAATATTGAATNCAGTTTTCAGGATGCATAGATTTTCAGGATGTTTCTAGCTCTTACTCAGCTTTGACCCAGAAGGAATTAAATAGTGCTTTAAAACAAGTTGTGAGGGAATTGATAGGAAAAAAGAAAAGAGCCAGAAGAAGCTGATTATGACACTAAAACTGAGTCAGAAAAGTGAAAGATAATAGAAGATAATTGCACAATGACTCCAAACAATCAGCTGATTAGGCAGATGAATTTTTATAGAAGACAAGAATAGTAGAACACAACTAATCTGTCAAGAATGTGGTAAAAATGTCTGTATTAACTGTTTTATAGTCCTTATATGTGCCATGTGTAAAACTGAGCAACGGAAGTGGAGTGACCTATTTTTTAATTATCTAGATGTTTTATAACTGCATTTGTTCAATAAAAAGTTTTAAGATTAACTCCTCCTTCTCTTTATTCATATTTTCAAAAAATAAAAATAAATAAATATTGAAGGATATAAAATAATATTATATATGTGATGTAATAGCCACAATGCAGCCTCTCACAAAACTCTAAAAGGCATACCCACCAAAGTGTTAATGAAACTTTCATTGATCTTGATTAAATCAATATTACTGAATAAAGATATATTATTTATCTTCATATATGTTATCCAATAAATTTTTAAGAAATTTTCCAGGATCCTTATGGATTTTAGAATCGTGAATCCTATTTTGCCAGGAATTTTTAGATGTAAATTTCTACAAACATAAAGAGATTCAAACAGAAATAATAGTTTCAAAGAAAATAGTTTCACAAGGAAAAAGGAAAAAAAGGTTCCTTTAAGGTCTATTCTTTCCAAAACAGAAACAAAAATGAATTATGATAGAAATTGAAATGATGTTCTAAGAATCTTTTTAGAAATAAATTAAATATTACAAAATATAATGATGGTTATTAATTTACAATAAACAAATAAAGTGTTGCTGCCATAATCAAAGCTTTATTATATCTTTATAAGTTCAATCAGCATGAGTGCTAAGAAATAGTGAAAATAAAGAGTAACAGAGCTTTTCAAAGAAGACAGTTCAATAAAAATTTTAAAAATTTGCAATTTATAAAAATTTTCAATAAAGAAATTTAAAATAAACTTTTTGAAAGATAACATTGGAATTGAACTTAAATATAAAATTGTTTCATTTTCAATGTCCAATTCAAGTTTAAATATTACATTAATATTTACAATATGTTATTTTTAACCACATTTTAATTAAAGCTTAATAACAAATTTTAATACTTATTATTATAATACTTAAATGGAAATAATACTTACTTGAAAAGACCAAGAAGTATCAGAATTCTTCATATCATTAAGAATTTCTTCACTTGAACTGGGAAGTGAATATGGGTCTTGTGTTAAGTTAGTCAATGATTCTAAAACTTCTTGCAGATGAGTCATCTCTTGCAGCATTATTAATTCTGATTTCTGTAGAAAAGTAATCAATATATTTAATATTATATAATGCTATTAATCTGCTTTTAAATTAACTTTTAAACACAGATTATCTGCATGAAATTACAATAATTTAAAATTTCAGAAAAGAAAAGAAAGTTTAGTAAAGAACTTTCAATTCCTTAGAGGTAAATGTAAATATTTTTCTCTCTTTATTATTACAGAAATTGCTTTTAGCCCTAAGTATAATTAAATTAATTAAAATATCTATAACCATGAGGCAGATAATAGTAAGGGCTTATCACACCAATGATCATGGGCACAAATGCTCAAGAATCAAAGTAAAAACATTGAATAAAACAAAAAGGGGTGTACAATAAGATGATTACATAATTATAAAAACCGTAAAAATCCAAAATTCATTTCGAACTATTTTCCAATAGAAAAATAGTCCCTCATCAGTTGGTATTAACGAGAGGTCTTAGTATACTGAAAAATTATACAAGGTGAAAAAAAATTAAATCTAAAATTAAACTTAAAATTATGCCTAGAGCTATACAATATAAAGATGAAAACATTGCCATGACTATATGAGCAGTAAGCATTGTCAATGTAGACAGGAGTAATATTTCTTCCTAACGTTGCATGGTGACGTGACGAACAGGGTGCTGATACAAAAATAGTTATGAGTTAGCCGAAATATTGGTTAACAGTTATGAACTAATGTTATACAGCCAGTTTAAATTATATACATACCAAAAAAAAAACAGTAGGACAACAGAGTTGCAGGTTCAGACATTTCTACAAGATGCAGGGAGCGGTTACATGTGTAAGGTAACACACCTCCTTTGCAACCGCTCCCTGCATCTTGTGGAAATGTCTGAACCTGCAACTCTGTTGTCCTACTGTTTTTTTTTGGTATGTATATAATTTAAACTGGCTGTATAACATTAGTTCATAACTGTTAACCAATATTTCGGCTAACTCATAACTATTTTTGTATCAGCACCCTGTTCGTCACGTCACCATGCAACGTTAGGAAGAAATATTACTCCTGTCTACATTGACAATGCT